ATTTAATAAAAAATTTTTATTTAGAAAAGCTCTTAATACTATTTGATTAATTATAATTATTATATCATAATATTAAAATTCTATTTTAAAAGTAATAACTGCATTATTATTATATAAATTATAATAATTATTAATATCTTATATATTATAATATAATTTTTATAATTATATTAAAAGTTATAATATTTAAAAGTTAAAGTTTCATTAATATATTTAATATTTATTAAATATAAATTTAATTTTTTTAAATTTTAAAATTAATAAACTAAAATAATAATATTATTAATATATAATCTTTTTAGATTGTAACTGTTAGATACAATGTTAGAAGATTAATTCTTTTATAATTTACATATAATTTTAATTCAATTTTCTACTAATCTTAATTATTTTATTACCAGCTTTATTAAATTGAGATAAGTTTACTAAATGTGAGTAATTTTAATCACAGATTAAAGTTTTTATAGTAATCACACAAAGAATTTATATGATAAAAATAAGAAATATTTTATTGAAAAAAAGAAAAATAAAGAAAAAAATGTAAAATATAAAATAAGAAAATAAAAATAAGCAAAAAGAATACATGAAAAGAAGAGTAGTATTATGCTATCTTTTACAAGAGAAAGATTTCTATACAGCTGTCAATCTGTCTTTCTAACTTATAAAAAGCTTGTATTTATATCTATTCTATTACATATATTAACATATTAAATATATTAATTATAATAACTATATTAACTATATTAGATATATTTGATATGTTAAACATATTTTATATTTTTGATATTTTTGACATTCTATATTTTGCTACATATTTGTAAATCTGTGATCAATAAGATCAATACCTAGTCACAATATTTATATATTTTTTATAGTAATTATATTTAATAGATTATTTTAAAATGCTAAAATTTGTTTCTATAAATCAAAAATATTCTAATTTACATTTTGAATCTAATTTTATAAATTTTGTTATATTTTTTCTAATATACAATAAATATAAATTGTATTTTTCTTTTTTAGTATTCTATATTAGTATTTTAATATATAATAATTTATAAATTTATATATAGAATATATGTATATATTAATTTTAATATACAATTATATTAATATAAATTTCATAAATTATTATTAAATAGATAAATTTAATAATAAATTTATTAACTTATATATATTTATATAATTAATATGAATATAATTTAATTTATAATTTAAATAAAATTGTAGATAAAATCTGAATTCTATTTTAACAAAAGTCAAAACCTTTCAATTTCAATAGATTTTAATAGATTTTAATGATAAAATTTTGATGAATTTTAATAGATTTTAATTATAATGTCTATTAAAACCTTTAAATTTTACTTATAAATCTTAAATTTAAATATTTACATAATAAATTTTTTATTTAAAACATTAAAATAATTTTACTTTTTAATCTTATTAATAATTATATTTTTTTCATTTTTTAATTATATTAGATTAAAATCATTATATCTCTTTATATAATATCTAAATTTTAAGATTTCATATTTATTATTTAACAATATTAGTATTTTTATATTTTAATTAATTTATTTATATATTAAGTATCTTCAAATTCTTATAATATATTATATTAGTTTATAATAATCTAAAAGTTGATTATGTATTATTTTTAATTGATTTTTTTAATAAAAATACTTTAACATTATTAATAAATAAAAGATGCATTTTTATCTATATTTTTATTTGTCATTATTAATATTAATTAAAATATTTCTAAAATTAAATATATCTATAATTAAGAAATCTATAAAACAGTTATATTTGATTTAGAAGAATCTGTAGTTAGTAATTACGCAATTTTCAATAATAGATATTTATAGGATTTTTATCATACTCATTAATTTAATTCATGATACATTTTTATTGATAAGTTCTATAATATCTATTAAGCAAATATTTTATTGACATAAAATTTTATTGTGTTAATGATCTTTTCCAGAATATTTTTTACAAATTTTTAGTCTGCTACCATAAACCAACACTATTTTAATTACATTAAGTGGATAAAAACGTTTATGATTCAAATATTATGTCATATTAATAACGAACTACGAAATGTATTTATAACTCGTGTCAAAAATTTTGCTACAAAAGAGGTCAAAATTCTTTAAATTTGCCCAATTTTCTCGCGAATAAATTATCGAAAAAATGTCTACTGCGAAAGGAGTATTTAACCAAAGAACAGAAATAAATGATGAATATGTCCCCAAACCAACAACAGGACAAAGACAAATGAAATATGGTCCACCAGGAGTTGGTGGTGGTTTGCATCCGTTTTTTCTTTCATTATTTTTGTTATTTTAACAATATTTGATCAAAATTTATTTATAATACATAGTCGATGTTGAAGAGCAGCCAATCAACGTTTATCATCAAGATGAACATATAGAAGGTATAAGTGTAGAAGCAGAAAATCGTAATCTTATTGAATTAAAATCCTTGTCTACGGATTACGCTCGTAAAGAAAGTAAAGAGGGAACTGGTCCTCACTTCAAAACTCAGGCTGCGACCGCAGGTATTCTATCAAACTTTTTTAACCTGCTTTGTTATAAATAAGATCAACTAAAAGAATTTAAAATTTTAGCTTCGGCGCTTGGAAAATATGCTGCGGCTATCGGACAAGAGCGTTTAAAGAATCCTACAGAATTGCTCAGAGACCTTCCTCACATTGATAATGTTGATAAAAAAGCTTTACTTGACAGATTGAAAAGAGAAGTTAAAGTTAGACAATCTAATGAAATGAATGAAATGCTTAGAGAAGTTCGTGGTGGCGTTGCCTCTCATGTACAATCTGCTGCTAAATTGGAACAATTAATTGAAAATGCGTAAGAAAAGCATATGATGTCTTCATGATCAAATACTTACTCAATTGTAATATAGCATGAAAAAAAAAAAACTGTTTTTCAATTTGCTGCGACAATAAAAAAAGTTTTTCTGCAATTTTCCAAAAATTGTTACGCCAATTTGATTTACATCTATGGCATATAAAACGATTCCTTCACGTGCCAATCAACACAATTTAGAAATCAATTTAGGTAAATTAAGATGTAGATACCTTAAAAAAAATAAAGGGGTGTACGGAGTTTTTTTTTTTAAAAAAAAAAAAAAAAAATCATCTTTTTGCATTTACTCGAAATAACGAAAAAAAAAAAAATTACGATGTCCTACGGAGACTTAGTTGATGAAGTGTTAATTCATTTAACACTTGTAATCGACTATATTACATATGCATATAATACACTCGTTTCGATAATTTTAATTAAATTTCTTAATCAATCACCATTACATGTTCATAATTCAACATCAAGTTATCATCCAGCAGTTTTAGTTACGGGAACTTCTTCTGGAATCGGACGAGATGTCGCATTAACTTTGGCCAAACAAGGTTATACAGTGTTTGCAACGGTTCGTAGGGAAGTTGATGCCGAGGAATTGAAGAATCGATTTGCAGAACTTGATAATGCTATGAATGGAAAATTAATACCTTTAATAATGGACGTAACTAATAAAGATGATATTCAAAAAGCTTACGATTCGGTTCGTACAACGATAGGAAGAGAGATTCCTTTTGTTGGATTGGTTAACAATGCCGCGTTGATTTTTTACGTTCCACTGGAGATCGCATCAGAAAGTTGTTATGAGGATAGTTTTAATACTAATTATTTTAGTATTATTAATTTAACAAAGAAGTTTTTACCTTTATTAAGGGAAAGCAGGGGCAGGGTTGTTAACATCGGTAGCATCGCATCTTGGGGTCCTGCTCCTTCTATGGGAATTTATTCAGCAACTAAAGCCGCTATTAGAGCAATTACACAAGTATGGAGAATGGAGACTAGATCTATGGGCATACATTTTTCGCTCGTCGAACCTGGTAAGTTCTTCTTAAGGGTTTAAATTTCGGAGATTAGTCAGCCATCAAACATCGAGATTAACGTTGCAATGTACGAATGTAGGTGTTGTTTCTACCAGATTTACCGAAAGTCAAATGAAAGCATATCGTAATTTTGTCTCATTCACATCTGATTCAAAATACCATGACATATCATATAATATTACATCAAATGCAATTGAATCTTATGAAAATTTATTCAGAATGATTGCAAAGAGAAGTTCATTATTAGGGGCATCGATGATTCCACCTGCTGTTGTGAGCGATGCTATCGTACATGCTTTAACCGCTCCTTATCCTAAAAATACTTATTATGTTGGTTTAGATGCTCGGTTGATTGCTGTTGCAAGTTGGTTTTTTGGTGATAGAATTATTGAAGCTGTTCAATCTAAAGCTTTAGCCGTTCCTAATGACATGATTACCGTTATGTAAGAATTAGTTGAAGATGGAAATTTGGAAATTTTTTATTAGTTGTTTCACCGAAGCTTTATTATTACTGTAATTATTTAAATTTAAATTTAAATTTATAATTTTTGAATAAAAAAAGAAAAATACAACAAATAAGTATTTTATTAGACTATTACTTGCTATAATACACAAATCATGGCTTGGTGTAGCTATATTTGCTTAAACTCAACCACGAAATAGGCGCGATAAAAAATTTTATTTATTCAACTTACATCTGGTAATCCTGATTCAATACGCAATTCCATCTCCAACTTTGGTTATTGGTTTTGTAATTATTTGCCTTATTCATGATGGCATGTGAAAAGGAGGAACTCTAGAATTTTAATCTATATATATATCTTTGTATGTTAAAACAACGCATTTTTCTGAATATTTTTTTAATAATTGTATTCCTTCGAAGACAACTTTTTGTATAAATAACATTTTCGAGATTTGCCTAAAATAGCTAAACATTAATTGATGATTATGATTTTATTGTTTACACTTAAAATAACACTAAACTTGAAACTTTAGAATAATTAGATTCATACATATTTTAAATTAAACCAAATTCGTTAATTCACGAATGTACTAACACACTGTTGATAATAATAATAAAATAATACTACAATAAATTCTCGTGAATTCAAATGGAAAGATTGCTAATTTTTGACTAAATTTAAGTTCTTAATGCATTTTATCTAATAACATCATAACTAAAATACAATAAAATCCAAAATTTTGTTAAAAATTCTCAGAACCTGATTATTTTAGCAGTCTTCCCATATAAACCTTTTTTATATGTATCAGAGGGGTTATAAAGTTACATTTATTACAAAAATATGAACGCTTTTTTGTAAAAAATTAGAATTTATTAGATTAGAATAGAATTAAGATTTATATTACATATTATTTATTTATATATACAATTTGAGTTGATATTCCATTATTATTGTAAAAAAAGAAAAAGAAATGATCGACTAACATTAAAATAATTAAATTAAATGATGAAATTATTTGAACTAAACAAAAAAAAACCGAATGTCCCAACAAACAAATGAAATTAGCATTAGCTTATTTTCGTTTGCTTGGCGTTGAATTTTTGGATTTGGATTTTCTTAGCTTATCGCCTATTTTCTGATTATACCTTGAGAATGCAGGTTGTCTTGATTTGGGTGGTTGAATTTGAAATTGATGAGAATTATGATGGTTACGACTCGAATTTTGTTCTCCTCTACAAAAAAGTTAGTTTGTACTGAGTTTTTTTTTTTTTTTCTTTTTTTTTTTAAAAAAAAAAAAAAGAATAGGCTACTTACTTTTTGGAATGATGATGATGATGTTCTACGTGTGGATGAACGGATGATTTTGAAATATTTGCCGCGAAAATTGCAAACAATGTAGTAGAACTACCAAAGACCCCCCTTAATGACATGATGAATTAAAATTTTCGAATTTCGTTATTGCAAATATAGGTCTTGAGAAAGTTTGAGTGATGATATATCTTTAGAATTCTTATATTCAATAACAAAAAAAAGTCTTTGATGGTACTTTATATATTTATGAAAGATCGATGATGTGCATTAACATGTAAAGCATTCGGAATCATTCCAAGTTCCGATGAGTTCTGGAAAACATTTTTCTAAAAAAAAAAAAAAATATAAAACTTCCAAAAGTAGACTGTTACGTAGGCGTTATGTAATTTTTCTAGGAGATTAGAAATAAATAAGTTTTTTTTTTTTTGCCAAAGGAGTTCCTCATGTCACTCGTTAACTTCATATGTAATCAAAATTGAGCAATAATCTGATTTTCTCATCCCGTATGACGAGGGAAAAAAAAAAAAAATCCAAATAAAGTTTTTACTCCTTTGCGGTGTGCATTCCTGGTTCTAACACGTGGAAATAAATTTGAATAAATCCTTATGTATACTTATACAATTCATTTACCAAATAACATTAAAACATCTTAAAATATACAATGAATTCATACTGTCAGTTCCTAGCACATTAGTAATAATAACAATAATAATAATAATATTAATAATAATAAAAAAAGATCGACCTATTTTGCCGATACTGAGTTTCTGACATTGCCCTGTATTAGGAAATATTAGCAGTTACCATAGCGTAGGTAGGGATGTATCATTACTAGCCAAATAAGCACAATTTTTAATTTGCGATACATTAAAAATAAACACGCAACCCGAATAAAAATTTCTCACACCGCATACACAATTAAAAAATGAAAGGCGAAAACTTTATTATATTTATTCAATTAGGTATTTCGTCCATAGAGATACAAAAATAATATTTCGCGAAGTTGTATTGGGCGTGCTAAAAACAATGGAACACTAACAATCGGACCCAAAGCCCGTCTCGAAAGAAATTGACTGCCCCTATTCTTTGGCTCCGCCAAATTGTTCACTAATCCCATCATTAATGCTAATAACTAATTACCTACGTACAAAGTCCGTTTCTACCAGATTTCGGAAATCCCAACTCCATCCCAAATATTCCGGTTCTTTAGATACACCAAATCCACTTACAGTCTATTCCAAGAACCGCTAAGGAAATTTTCTTTCGGCTAAGTAAGGATTTCGAACTCAAAATTCCGAAATAAAAAATTAGGCAGAAAAAAATTTTGCAGAGCATTAAATCCACCGTGACTTACTTGTTTGCTTCTTATTCATGGTATACCACACCGTCTCAAATACAATTTTTTTCCTTAGATCTCGCATGAGGTTGAGTTTTGTTTCGATCTTTTTATTACGATATTGCGCCAGGCTTCGAGAATTCGTAAGAAATCAAAGCGGTCAATGATTGATAACTAATCTTACTTACCTCACAATCGCATTAAGAGATCCGGTTAATCGATATTTCCAATTTTCCTATTAAAAACAAAATTATTTGTCAAGATCAACCCTTGTACTTATCTTTGGATGAACAATTTTTGCAAATATTAGTAACGGTAACTTAACTCCCCCTCATCAAATAAGACTTTCTAAACATTGCAAGGAGGTTAAAGGAGAAATTTTTGATGATAAGCAATACGTGAATGTGACTGAAATTTTAGTGACGGACCGTCAAAAATTTGCTTGAAGTGACGGAATTTTTTGTGATCATGTAAGGTGGCTGCATGTAAAGAAAAGACAAGAATAAATATCATTAATACGTAATTGCGGAATGGTAGATCAAAGATCCTGAATTTTCGGCTGAAAAGCAAACCTGGTTAACACTTTACCGAATTATAACAAGTACGACCCACGATTTCATCACAAATGAAATAAGGTCTTAAGGTTAGTCAAAAAATTTTCTAGAGCCTAATTTTTCTAGCAAACTTCCCATATCTATTCTTCTGCAAATCATTATTGAATTCTAATAGTATAATTTAGATTAATGTGAAAATTTTAATTGTAATTTTCTTAAATACTAATTCATAATAGATTTTTCTAAATTAAATATAATAAACTGCATTAAAATATCTCTAACTATATATAAATATTGTAACCTAAAAAATTTGTATAACAAATCATATAATACAATAAGAATTAATTGCAATATAAAGGATCTATAAAATTGGTAAAACTAAATCTTATGTAAGATTTAGATAAATTAATTTATAAAGAAAGATAAAACTATTGCTAATAATAAGATATATCAAATGTATTATCATTCTATCTTACTAAAGATGGTCCCCATAATTAATTTAATAATATGTTATAATTGTAAAATTTTATAATTTTGTTGCAACATTTGTTAT